TAGGTCTGGACTAGTTCTAATCCTAGGTTAATCGTGTCTTGTTTAGTGTCTACTAGATACAAAATAAAATAAATCATCTAGTTTAGTCCAATGTATACTAAACATAAAAAAAAAATATTTATTATATCTAGTTCAATTGAATTAATATTGTTCATCATCCTAGACATCAAGGATAATAGAGTATAAAAATTCAATATCTTAATTATAATGTCATGATTGCCTTTTGCTAGTGGTAAGATAAATTATGAGAACATCTATCTTAACAGGTTCAAGATTCTCAGTAAAGATAATAAATTAATTTAATTTAATTTAAAAATATTTTTTTTGAAAAAAAAAATTAAATTAAAAAAATAGAAGCAATCCATGTTTTTTAAAATGACTAAAAAATCTTATAGAAGTGAAAAAAAATAGCAAAATATTGGGGGATGGAAAAACAATTTAAAAAGAAAAAAATCAAGAAAATTTGTGCCAATTTCATAAATCAGAGTTAATCTCTTAAACTTATAAACTATTAAATTCTATACCTAGATTTAATAAAAAACAATAAACACATAGCTAATTAATTGTTGGAGGATGAAATAATTATAAAAAAAGCATTCTAAAAAATCTTGCAAGGTAAGAAAAAATACAATAAAAAAGATTTCGATTTAAGAGGGAAAAACTGTAGAATAATAAAATTACAAAAAAAAAATTATAAAAATTATATAAAATAAAATAAAATAAATTAAATAGTAGTTAAAATGATGAGAGCCAAATCAGATAAAAATATCTATAGGCATAGAATCTTAAGGATAACAAATCTTAGGGATTTATTTTAATTTTTTAAAGACCAACAGGAAAATCAAGCAAAAAAAAAAAAAACCAAACTCCACACGTCCCAAATTAGCCATCATTATGCTACACCGACTGCTTATTAATGGTGAGGATGTTAAGATACTTCGGCCGCTGCTTTGGAAGTAAGGTTTTGATTACCGGAAAGAGACGCACACGCCATCTAAAACTTGTAGACATTGTTCACGCATCTCTTGCTTTAATTTATTCATAAAATTATTCTATTACTTTTAATAATCTCCAATAACTACTAAATAACAAGATAAAAGAACTCCTAAAGAAGGGTAAAGCTTTTTAAAATTCAAGGTTAATAATATAATTTAACTGTTGTAAAATTGAAGTCAAAGCTCATTGATCAACGTTTAATGTTTTTTTTTTCTTGAAATGATTAATAAATCCTAAAAAAATAAAATTCCTCCTCATAAAACAAAGCCTACTAATTTTGCCACCCAAAGGTAAAATAGTAGTTTCATGCACAGTGAAACAATCTCTTTTAAATTTTGTTATGATAATTGTTCTTGAAAAAGACCATAGAGGAGTTTCTTGCAGAAAGGGAGGTTGACATTACAGGAAAAGGATAGGGTTGGTGTGGTTGAGATCGATTAAAACTATCAATGTGGAGCCTTGGCTCTCACATGCCGGCTATGGAGGACATCCCTTTGTCCTCTTAGACGACATCTTTATCTCAATGACAAACAAGAAGCCGTCCACTTTAATTTGTAATGCACTATTTTATCCTCCTCATTTCTGCTGATTTTTTTTTTTTTGAATGATAATGCACTAGAAATTTATGAGATTTTAGGACTAGACTTAAGATTTGGTGACAGCATCTTAGGTATATAGCTTGTTCATTCAAGCCTCACTATCATTTCAAATGAGAAAAATCAAACTCAAGGCAACAGTGACAATCGACCCAACTTGCAGAAAGGAAGAAACGTCTAGCTTCCGAATCGAAGAAGATACATCAAGTGATAGTGAAGCTTTTGCCTCTAATGGCGACCCAGTTGAGCTACAATTCCACCTTGATTGTATTCAAACATATTAATTAAACCAATTTAGTAACTAATCATGTCTAGCCATTCATTTCCTACCTGATTGAACTTTGAAGTCATGCATCAAAATAAATTATGGAACCAGACCTCCAGGGAAGTCAGAAATTATGAAGCAAGTTAATACTCCAATGGAACACAAGCAGCAGCGAACTCTTCGTTGAGCCAACCCATTATTAGAAACACAAACTTTAGCCACCGTTGGCGTTATAGTAAATTCTGTTTTTTTGTCTAATTATAAAGAAAAAACTATTTAGTTAATCAAATAACTTCTATTTTTTGCATCGATTCTCACATATAATTGTGTTTCAAGCCTTAATTTTATAAAAACTAAAGTAACTTATTTTTTATTTATGAATACCTGCTTTTTATTAATTTTGGATATCAAATTTCATCTTACAATAGTTTTAACCACACATATATTAAAATATTTGTGTTATGCAATACAAGGCTGTCATGAAAACCCACTCAAGGGTCAAACACATTATCTGTGTAATTCTCACATGAAAATGGACATGCTTTACGAGAATTCAAGCAAGAAATGAACTTCTCCTCCAAGTTAGGAGTTAAATCCCATCCATTGTGACTGAACTTTAGTAGTGGCATGTATTCTTTCTAGCAAGAAATGACCTTACCATTTACATATCATTTCTACACATGTTATTTTGCCTACATTCTGCGTAATGACTTGTAATTGCACCTGTATTCCAAATGATTTTCCAGCTTTTGCTTCACATCATCCACTTTTTTCTTTCACCTGGGAAGTGCAAGTCTAATTTCCAATCAATGCTAAACAAGAGGTTCTTTTGATTAACACTCGACAGCGGCGGCAGGGCTGTTTTCTCTTCTTCTTTCCCCCCTTACAGCTAGAAACGTGCAGGCAAGATGCGTGCATGTTCTGAATCTCTGATACGTCATCTCAGATATCTTTGTGCATGTTCTGAATCTCTGACATGTCATCTCAGATATCTTTGTGCATGTTCTGAACCTCTGATATGTCATCTTAGATATCTTTCCTATTCACCTAGTCATCTTATCTAACATCTAATTTAAATTGTCAACTTCAGAAGGCATTTTTTATCGGGACCATCAAAAATCAACGCGATTCAGCATTTACATTTGTAAATGTTGGTCCGAAATGTTATCCATCATGATGGCTTCAAGATGATTTAAGATAGTCTATATGATCATAACACAGAATCTCCATTAAAAATCTTAAAATCAAGTGCTTAACAAGTCTGAAAAATAGTTGATGAATTCGAATTCTGAACAATCAGTCAGGACCAGTGAATACCAGATAAGATTTTCCACTGATATCCTTGAGAACATCCACTAACTGATGAAGCTAACTCAAAACAAGGACTAAATTTAATCATCTTGTTGGTCAGGCAATATAATATAAATCTAATCCATGGAATAAAAACTTGGAACATACCAGCCCAACTCGTCCAAGAATTTCTTCACTCTTTCTTCCAGTCCTTGTGAATCCCCCAAGGTTGTTGTGAAAGGGTATACATAGGTTATACTTTTGTAGCCATAGATCTATTAGCAACTACATCTCCTTCTACGAAAAACTAAAGCACATCGTGGTCAAACCCTCCATCAACCTCAGCTTGTAAATATTGGCTTGAAAGACCAGAGAAATTACTGATAAATATTAAAATGAGAATCAATCAATGTACCTATTCTCACATTCACATCTAAAATCAAGCAATCGTTCATGGTGTTCAAAGTCTTTCAAATTTTGTTACATAATTACTATGGTTGCATATATATGGTGTTGATTGCCATTTGGGGCATCTTCAATGACTTAAATCTTGGCATTTTTCTTCATTTTCAGGATTGCTTCCTGCAACTTCTGCTCAAAATTAACAACCAAAGCAAGTATAAATTACACTGAAGCGGTACATTTAGCCACAATGCAGAGAATTCTTTAAAACCTGGATTACATTCTCTGGAATCCTCCATGGGAATGCAAATGATGAAGATTGCGGATTTGTTGAAACAGAACCTGGGTTTGTAGACGGGCAAGGCCTGATTTTCCTGCAAAAACAGAACACTGCACGAAGTCAAAACAACAAAGACGTATAAACCATACACATCTAGCCCCATAAAGTAGGGGAGATAAAGAAAGAAAAAAAAATGAAATCTCATTAAAATACCTATTTTATAGTCCAATCTGCAGGTCCTTGGATTGAGAAAATGGGTTGTGGGAAACAGAAGGGGAGGCTGAGAGTTAAGAGAAGCGATAGCCAAGGAGGAAAATGGAGAGTTTAAGGTTACAGTGAGGACTAAGGAGAGGAGATTGGTGAAGAGAATGGGTTTTGCAGTAGGATTTTGAGAAGTAAAGTTTGTGAGTTTGAGGATCTTAATTCTTAATTTTATTTTGGGAAAGAACACTGAGCCAGCGTCGATATGTCCGAGTGGTTAAGGAGACAGACTTGAAGTCTGTTGGGCTTCGCCCGCGCAGGTTCGAACCCTGCTGTCGACGTTTTTTATTAGTTATCTTTCGTCATTGTTCGAACCCTGCTGTCGACGTTTTTTATTAATTTTCTTTCGTCATTGTTCATCCCTATTTTATTTTTTTTGGTCAAACACCCACACAATCTCTTCAATATTTCACATCGATCCCTATTTCTTTTATTTTCTCAAAATCGCATCAGGAGTCCAAAATATTTTCATATGACTCCAAATTCATTAAATGACACAATTGTATATTTTTCCTTTTTAAGAATGTTTGTGGAGTATTATGTTTATCATACAATTTGATAATTGGATAATAAGATATTTCATAATTATAGTATTATGTTTATCATACAATTTGATAATAAGATATTTCATAATTACTAAAAAAAAGTAAAAATAAAAATCAAAAGAGAGAAGAAGTATTTTTTATTTTTTTTAACATAATGTTTTAAAAATATAATTTAGTAATAACAAACAACCCAGTCAATAACTCTTAAAAAAAAACTCCAAAGTATTAACATAAAATATAAATTCTAATTTAACAAGACTTTTCTTCGTCGATTAAAATTAATTTAACATGAGGAAGTGTATTGCAATAAATTTAATATGAGTAACTAATAAATTAAAAACTTCATTTAACAATGAAGACGCTGTTGATGGTTATGAGTTAAATCAAGTGTTGATTGCTTGGTTATGATGTGATTGAATATTAAAACAATAGTATATATTTATTATAATTTTTTATTAACGAACATTCCAATGACTTTTTTTGTTAATTTTTATGTCGTTTTACCATCTCATAATAAATATAAAAAATAAATTTTATAATAATAATAATAATAATAATAATAATAATAATATCTTATGTGTGCATGTATATAAAAAGATAATTAATAATTTATTATATTAATCTATTGATTGTGACTTCAAAATACATTTATAATTGAGATAAAAATTCAAAGTAACAACAAATGGGTCTCCTTGTACTTGACATCAACAATGCCAAGAACACATGATAATCAAACACTTTTTTCTCTCGCGCCATTACAACAATTATAGCCAGAACATCAATAATTACTTTAGCCACAAGTGATGTCAGAACATGAAGCAAACATATGCAATTAGGACACGTTTCTTTTGTTGTGTTTTAAAAGTATGTTAAAAAAATTTAATTTTTTTATTTATTTTAAAACAATATATTTTTAGTGTTTTAAATTATTTTAATATATTAACATAAAAAATAATTTTAAAAAAATAAAAAATTATTTATATGTATTTTAACATAAAAATTATTTAAAAAACAACCATAATTACATTATCAAACAATAAATTAATGTGTTAGTTTTTACAATTTAACCAATATTTTATATTATTTTTTATGTGAAAAAATATTAAAATGATATTTTTTAATAATTTTAATATGTTAATATTAAAACTTATTTTAATATATTTTTAATAAAAAATATTTTTATAAAAACACCTCAATGCAAAACATTCATAAATTGCATCAATTGAAAACTTCTAGCATATTCGAGACTCAAGTAAAATCTATAAAATAGTTTGATGGCTCAGATGTAGTTTACCCTCTTCCTCTTATAAACTAATATTTGTATAGTATTTCTCTTCCGAAACACAAAATTTCCAAATCCCATGTTTGGTTTCTAAGAAAAACCAGATACAAAAAGGAAAAAAGAAAGAACAAAAAATCCTACTTGACAAATTTTTACTCGAACAAGCAGAGATAAAAATAATCCAACGAAAGAAGAGAAAATGGAAGGAAATTCAAATCCCATATGGAAGGCAATTCAAATCCCATATCACCAGTAACACCACAACACTCAAAAACAACACAAGAACTAGCCATAGAAGGCCAAAAACACTTGGAAGAAACAATCCAAGCTGCTTACCAGATCCTCTCTTCTATGAATGATGAGCTTTGCAACCCCACTTTATGGTCCACCACCTCCACCTCTACAAGTACTGTCACTTCCCCTATCACTTCTAGCAACGCACAAAACGGTGATGCGAATGCTGCTATCTCTGATTCCACTCTTGAATTGAATGGCGGTGGCTCTGGTGGTGGCGGGGTGGGTAATGGGGCTCTTGATGAAGCTCGGTTCCGGTACAAGAACTCCGTTGCTGCTCTTCGTGATGTTCTTGCGGCAATTCCTAATTCTCACAAGGTTTATTTTTTTTGAAAAACCCCAACCCTAGTTTTTTTTCCTTTTATATTGTGAATTTTATTGTTTGGGTATAAATTGTGCTTGATTAAAAGGGGTAATTTTTATGCTAAATGTATGAGGCTTTCTGCGATTAGATAGTAGCTGATTTATAACGGAAGATTTTTATTGAGTGTTGAATTTCGAGGCATTTTGTGTCTGTGATTGGAATATTGCTTAATTAGTTGAATGATCAGGAGCAAGTTTTTCACAAATTGTTAGAATTCTTCTTCTTTCTGCTGTTGGAATGTTGCTTTAATCTGAGGTATATAATAATATGGGAGTCAAGAAGATATTGCTGTTAGTAATGTTTAAGTTTCAATACTTGATAAGTTAGTATTCTAGCCAATTGAAAACTTTTGGGCTAACTGGAAATGTCTAGGGCTTCCAATTGGGGTAAAATTTTGTCTTTGGAAATTGGTGACGACGCTAATTGTGTGTGTGTGTGTTTTTAATTTTCCAAAATAGGCAAAACCTTTTGAAACCAGTTCTCCGGCAGATCAAGCTGAGATTGAGAAGTTGGAAGAGCGAGCCTCCAACCTAAGAAAGGTAATTTTCTAATTTTCTTTGAATTTTGAATTCATGTTGGTTGATCAATTTGTATATGTTATATAGTTTATTGTTTCAGAGTTATTTGCAACTGTAACAGCTCTTTGGATTGCTAAAAAAGAGCAATTTTATGCGACATGGTTAAAATGTCTTCTAAGTTTCTTCAAAGTTTGTGTGTTCTTCTTCGTCCTTATATTTGCAAAAATTAGCTCTAATCTTGAGTTTTTTTATCATAGGAACTTGCAAAGAAGAACACATATGTCAAGCTTCTCATAGATCAGTTACGAGAGCTTATTGCAGACATATCTACATGGCAGAGTCCTTATTCTGTCTGAAGTTCATTCAGAACTCATTATCATGAAAAGTGATGCGTGGGAATTAAGAACTAAGTGGAGATGCGTTTGTGAGATGATGTCTGTCTTGACATTTTCTTTCTTTGTGACACTCGGATATACATTAACTGTAGACTTCTAAAGCTAAGTAGCAAGAAAGTTTCTGGTTTAGCATAAATTAGTAAATCTATAGAGATATTGTACAAGAGAGCATGTCTTGCATATCTTGATATGTTTAGCATTCTGGATATTGTCTCTATTGAAGGAAATTTTGGGTACAAGCAAGTTTGATTGTTTTTTCATATTCACAATGGCATTCCCTGTTTGATCACAACATCAAGTGATTTCAAACAAATTGTAACATGCGATTTGATATCTGATTGTCCTGGGTTTGAGGAAGTTGTAGCTGCATTTCATGAATGAAACAATTCCTCTGCAAAGTAACCTTCCAAGATAAATTTAATACCACCCCAACTTGTTTTTACCCAAATGACCAAGTTAGTAATTTGAAGTTGCTTCATTAGGAAGCTCACTGTAGATTCTAGGCTTTGGAAGCACCTTTGGAGGTCATGTATGTTGGGTTTCTTACATAATTGAAAAGGAGGTGCAATATGTATCCTGATCAACAAGATGACTTCCTGGAAGCTGGAAGGATTCATACAGGTTCACTTTAATTCTGCATAAAAACTGGTTTATTGCATAGTGTTTGAACGAACGACTTAAGTGAAATGCATAGTTCCTTGTCGGTGTCATTGATGGTCATTTGAAGAGAGAACATTGATGGACTTTTTAGCCGAAAATACTGATTCTATTATAAGCTACTGATGTTAAAGAACATCATCATATGCTCTGCATGTAGGACAGGAAGGCCGTAAATTGATGGCAACAAATCCCTTTCCTCGCAGAAAATTGGACTTACTATTTTTTTCCCTATCCTTGTTTGCTACCAGCTGTACCGCACCAATGGGGGACCAAGCAGAATAAGGTCCCGTCTGCGTTTAAACGTGGGACTGATCAATGCATCCGTATTAATCACCAACCAATTTTGGGCCAAAAGTCTCGAGTACGTTGAAAAATTGTGCTCGGGCGGCAAGCTGAGTTAGTGTTCAATAGGCGTATTGTCATCTCCATCTCCTACTGTACTCAATCCCACCCATGGTAATGTTACATCATTTATATGAAATCTGTTCAATAGAGCACGTGATTATTGGAATTAATTTTGATCGCTATGACATTGTTCGGAAAGCAGCGTGCAGCATCTCCCTGTTGGTGCTAGGTAAAAGAAGGGAAGAATGGCAATCTTGAGGGTTTAATTAACACCAAAAGTTGCGTACTTCTGTAGCTAAAAGTGCATTTCCTGTTTGGACATTTGCTACAAATGACTCTAGACTTGTGCTTCACTAGACTGTTTTCTTCAAACGATTCAAAGCAATCAAAATCATTATGCAGGAGAGCTTTCTTTTTGCTTTGGTTGCCCTCCACTTCCACCAATCTAGTGACATGAAGCTACACACGATTTTGAACAGAAAATGGAGGAAAACCCTAAATGATTAATAACTAATTGTGAACCGAAGATCTAGTAGTAAGTGATGATCTCATATCTACAATGGCAGATTCATCTGCTCCTAAATTGATAGCCTCTTTGCTAGCTCTGATGAACCTTGTAACAGAACCTTCCACGTATTCATGCGCTTCTTTGACATTCATTTTCTTGCTCATCTCATCTGGGAAGCTGCTCAAGAAGTGGTCACCGTTAAGAACAGCTGCTAGTTGAACTACCTCACTCTGGAATTCGGAAAGTGAACCGTCTTCTTTTGCTTCTGTTCTTCTCAAAGGTGCTACATCTGGCAAGGTCACTGCAATGGTTTGCAAAGGCGCACTTAAAAAACAATCTATCTCCTCCATGTGATTTATCAGTACACAAGACTAAGAAAATGATCAATCTATCACTACTTAAATTTAAGTTATTTATGCGTAATTGTGCATTGATAAGACTAAGAATACCTGGGCAGTCAGTTCTGGGAGATGTCAGCCCCCCAACAACTCCTTCAAATGTGCCAGCCCATGCATCTCTGTGTGTCAAGAAGTTAGAGGACAGGTTGAACATCTTCTTTATAGTTGCAGGAATTGAGGAGTGCTCAAACTCTGAGTTTGGAGCAGGTCCCTTTGGGCCACTTATCACTGAAAAGAAACAAATAATTATATAAATACAATAGAAAATGAAAGTGGGAGAGTGAAACAACAGATCACGACTTTAATTCTTCAGAAGTCAAAGTGATCAATAACGACGTATCTACTAACCTTAGGTACCAACCAAACTTCACATGAAACAGAAAATTAAACTTACCAGTGCCTTTCTTGATCCAAGGAGAGACCATAATTGTCGGCACACGAACTCCAAGCCTATCAAACTTGAAGAAAGACGGGGCGGGGCCAGTGTTCCCATCTGGGCTAGGAATATTAACATAAGGAGTCTTAACATGGTCATAAAATCCACCATGTTCATCATAAGTAATGACCAATAGGGTCTCATTCCATTGAGGACTAGCTCTCAATGCCTCATAAACCTCCTTGACAAATTTTTGACCATTAGCAACATCATGAGATGGGTGATCGTCGTTTGCAGGCATTCCTTTAAGATCAAAATAGCTTGGTTCAATCACAGTTAAGCTTGGCAACTTCCCATTTCTAGCATCTTTCTTGAACTTCAAATTAAACTGATGAAACTTGAAAATATACTTCAGTTTCCTCATGTTCCTATAGAACAAAGTTGTTGGAATGTTTTGAAAGTAAATCCCAAAGCTCTTGCCATTCTCATGAAGTGAATCAAAAATTGTCTTCTGAGGGTACCCTTTAGCCAATTGCTTCTTGACATGGCTTGTTGAGCCGTGAGAAGTGGCGGAATACACAACCAGCCTATTGGGTTGTGTTGGGCCAGGGATTGAAGAAAACCACCTATCAAAGACTGCAAATTCTTTTACAAGTGTTGCATAAACGGGCACAGCTTCAGGCCTAAAGCCTTTCATGACAGTTTCAGAGAGGTTCTGTGATATAGTCAGAGCTTGGTCAACAAAACCAGTCATTGAAGGAATGGAGCTATTGCCAAATACCTGTTGTTCCACAGCTTCGAAAGAGTGTCCAGGATCTGGATCCACAAACTCAGCATCATCTGAGAAACAAATGGATTGTGGGCCGGGATTCTTGGTTGATAAAGGATTGCATTCTTTCCCTGAAACACCATTGATTGCTGGATTGATAGATTTCTTCATCCAACCAATCATGTGATCAAAAGATCTGTTTTCCATCACCAAAACCACAATGGTCTTGATGGGGTTCGGTTGTTGGGCCGTGGAAACACATGAAAGTGTGAGAAACAGCAAGAAAATGGAGGAAAATGAAGGTGGTTTGGTTCTGAGCCACCCCATTGTTGTTTTCCTTAGCCAGGAGCAGGCCTCTAGGCACAGTGGGTTTGCTTTAGTTTTAGCTTCAATGCTTATCTGGTTTCTTGCCTTTATAACGGAATCAAGGAACTCTCCAGGAACCACTATTGTCTATTGCCAGTGCGAAGAAAAGTAGATTTGGTATCTTATACAGTTCTTGCTTTTTGGATATTTTTGAGTCAGAAAGAGAGCGAGATAGAATTTTCACTGTACAAGTTCTGGCCACAGAGAGAATAAAGAAGCTTCTGGTTTTCACCTCTGCTTTTGCTTTTGTGGGTGGTTTTTATAAGAGAGGGCCACATATGTCCAAATCTTTAGCAGACACAGCTTTCTGTGATATGATTACACGTTGCTAGATGCATTAGCTTTAAGAGATGTACTGGTAGGAATCACCATTCACCTCTGCAAATTAGACAGGAGAAGAGACGGGGCATTAAATTTTGAGCGAGTCTTTACAGCCTTTAAAAAATTACTTTTACTCGGAAAAAATGACACAGTGAGCTCATGGCATGGAAGAGCTTCACAAATTTACGAGGTGAAGGGAAGAGAGGGAAATAATTGAGAATATGAAGGCTGTTAATGGTAAATTTTTTATGGCTTCTTTTCTGCAGGGAAGATATTTTTAAATGTGAAAACGAGAAGGAAAGGATGTGAACATGATTTGTTTTAGCAAAAAGTTCACTGTGCAGGCAGCGGAAGAGACTTCATGGTGTGAACTCTATAATTGTCAGGTTGATAAAAAAAGGAGGATATTTTATTTTTAGTTTCATGATTTTTATGTTTTTCTTTTACGATATCATCGTGCTTTTATAATTTAAATAATTAATTTAATTGAGTAACTCAAGTTTAATATTTAATAAATATATTTGTAAAAGGTAGAGCCACAAACCCCGAATATAACTCATTTTATTCTTTAAAAGAATACAAGGGTATTCAAATAAAAAAACTTAAATTAGCTTGTTTTTTATTTTCTAAATTACAAATTTATTATATTAAGTTGGATTAACTAGAGCCTGTTTTCTTGTCCTCTCTTATAAAAATATTTATTTTTATTTTATTTTTTTTTATTTTTTTTTTATTATTATTGTTATCTAATATTTTATTTTATTTTATTTTATTATTATTGTTATCTATTTTTTTATTATCCCGTTGAAATAAAATCAATTTATACAATTCATTCCTGTATACAACTCAAGTCATATATTTGTATTTTATTTTTTCAAAGCGTTTACATTATCTAAATATTATAAAAAAAAAAACCCACAGCACAGTGAGGTACGCAGCTAGTGTCCTCTAAAGAGGGGGCGCGGGCGCAAATGATAGGAGGTTAAAAAAGGGCAGCATGTGCACGAGGAAAAAGCTCAATAGTATTATAAGTGTGCCCCCTGTAGGGGCTTCCACTTGCGAGTGAGGAGGCCCATCAAGAAATAAAGAAGACACATGCATGCTGTACAGGGTAAAAACAAACACGGCATATGGAGATTAGTGCCCTGTCAATCCCGCCATCGAAGGTCATTTTATAAACAATTTCCACCGTCACCTCTGAATTGACGGTCACCGCTTTAACTTTCTTTTAGGATTATATATATATATAATGATTTAGGGTATAATAATAATTATTTTTTAAAATATTCTTTATTGAAAAATATATATTTTTTATTTTTAAAAAATCATTTTTAATATTAGTAGATTAAAACAATCTAGAAACATAAAAAAAATTAAGAGTGGTAGTGATTAATTTTCAAGATTTAAAATATTTTTTGTAAATATTATTTTTACAACTATATATTAAAACAATTTAAAATTATAAAAAAATTATCATGAGTTTAATTCAAAATAAAAAACCGTTAAAAAGCTCTCTCTCGTTATCAACAATCACTTCGAATTCCAATATAAATACAGAAAAGCTTTAACTTGATGTGCATAAAATTCACCAAAGAATTTCATGGATGTTAAAACCTAAAAAAGAAATTCTTAAATATACTTCAGACAGGGTTTCAGCAGCCTGATATTCATTAAACTAAGCTAAATTATACAATAATGAACAAATGTACTTGAAATCCATAATTTAAGGTTTGATGCGATGGTCCCATCCCATCCCATCCCATCCCATGGGGTAATAAATATAGTATTTGCAAGCGAACGAACTGGCGTGTGAAAGTGAGAGTTCTCTCACAGATTTCTCGTCCCCTAATCAGTGGGATCTGTCCACCCACCGCCTCCATAAAAATGTTTTTCTTTTTTATTTTCGAACTTTTAAGCTTCATGACTTGTTTGAAGCAGTAGTAAAATAAAATATCATGTTTCGAATATTTTTTTAATGTTAAAAATTAAATTCTAAGTAGAATTTAATCTGTCTCAAAATAACTGTTATATTTTTATTAAAAATTGAGCCAAGAAGTAGATGGAAAATGAGAGGAAAGACTTGGGATCTGCTTTTATTTAATGGAGGTGTGAGTGTGATTGCGGTTGTTTTAAAGTGTTTTTTATTTAAAAAAATATATTAATAATTTTTTTTATTTTTTAAAAATTATTTTTAAAATTAGTATATTAAAATAATTTAAAAATATCAAAAATATATCAATTGAAAAAAATTTAAATTTTTTTTGAAAGTATTTTCCAAACACATTAGTATGATTACAGTTGTTTTTTAAAATATTTTTTACTCACAAAAATATGTTCATAATATTTTTTATTTTTAAAAATTATTTTTAAAATTAGTATATCTAAATAATTTAAAAATATTAAAAATATATTAATTTAAAAACATTTAATTTTTTTTTAAAAAAATAACACCAAACACGCCTTAAACACCAAGCTAGTGGGAGGCAAGTCTTACTGGCAGGTCACAAACGAACAGGGGAACAAAAGGTCAAGAAATTCCGCCATAAAATGTCAAAAGCAGCACCATCCACTGAAGTGGGATTGGGTTCGGCCATGTTGCCCCCACGCACCGACAACATCAGAGATCCAACTGGCTTAGAGCCCAGTTACTTCTGTGGTGTGGATTCTAAGCTTCTAACCTCCACGACATCACGTGGTTCTTAGTTATATATATATATATATGTGTGTGTGTGTTGGGTTGTTTAATATTACATATAGTGGAAATTATAAAATAAAATTGTTTAAAAATTTATTATTTGAAAAATTGTTTAGTATGAACCCACAAAGAGTATCAAAATGGGCCACCATGTGTGCTTGCTTCTTGATTTCTCAATTTCTTAATTGGGCTAACATGGATGGGGGCCTTGTTCATACAAGCAAAGATATGGGCTTTTAGAGTGACCGACATTATATTGTACCTTCTTCTATAATAATTTTCTGAACTTTCTGTTGCTTTCAATCAACATTTATATATTTTTAATTTCATTGCCGTGCTTTAATAAATAATAGTTTAGGAATCCTAGTTAGGAATATATTTGTGGTTGGTTGTAACTTGTTTTTCATTAAAATTTATTTTTCTATTTAAATTTTTTTAATTTTTTTAAACTTTTTTAAGATGTTGATATTAAAAATATTATTTTTATATATATCTAATATTTTAAAAAATAATCTGTATTACACTCCCAACACTCACTAGATATCTATCACTATGTTACTATAGTGTATTTTATGCATGATTTTTGGATTGATTATACCTAAATATTCATTAATTGGTGTATATATACATGCATGTATAAATTCATTCCTTTCTAATAAAAAAATAAACCTTTCTGAATAATGAGTATACAATAAATTAATAATCTCAATTAAATATTTTTTTTATTATCACTTAAATTTGAAGTTTTTCTGGCACTAAATATATTATTAATTTATAGTTTGAGCCAAGTAAAAATAAAACTAATTCTAGCATGGCCATCTAGTTAAAAGTAACTAAAGTTTTTAAAATTGATTAAATTCTAAAGAAATCAAAAGTTAAAAATTATTTTTACGAATCAACCAGGCAAATATGAAGGGTATGTTCTTAAAATTACAGTAGAAAAAAGAAATTTAGTCTTTATTAATTAATGAACAAATAAATATTTAAAATATTATTTATTATAAAAAAAAGAATTTGTAAGTCACATGAAGTATAATAGTATTTTACCTGCAGATTTCCTAGTCTTTGTCAACTTCTGTCTCGTTCCGGAACCCTAGCTTGTGAAAACATCAGTAACAACATCATAGTTTTTTTCGCGATAATCACCTTGTTATTTTGAGAGAAAGATCATAGAGGAAGGCTTTGCCGTTGCTACTATCATTCGTTTTGCTTGGATTCAAGTTCAACATCACTGCCGCTTAAAAACAAGGTATTATATCATCACCATCATCATCATCATCATCATCAATTCTTACGGTTTCAAGCTTATGATCAATCAATCAATATGTGAGTAAAAGTTAGTGATTTTCTGTATAACTAGATGGAAGAGTCTAAAGGAAGAATTCAGTATGGCTACCAAAGGAAACGGTATGGAAGAGATGATGCCACCAATATAGACATGGGAATCAGAGTTGATGCCTCTGATAGGATCTCTCGACTGCCTGATCACGTTCTGCACCACATCCTCTCCTACCTCTCAATTAGAGCTGTGGTTCGTTTCAGTGTCTTGTCCAAAACATGGCACCGAATCTCGACATCGTTCCCAGTTTCTGATTTTTCAGAAGACGTGCTCCGTCTTAGCAAGCGTTATGAAATCCAAGATTGGAAAAATAAATTCATTGACTTTGTGCAAGATTCTTTGCTTGCACAACACCACCACAACACAAGATCACACAAGTTCAGACTATCTATGGACCTGGATTCTTATGATCCTCAACTTACTTCTCGTGCTGACCACTTGTTGGAACTGGCTACTAAGTGTGGTGTTTACGAGTTTGATCTCAACTTCCAAAATATATCTCATTATTGTTTGCCCCAAGCCCTCCTCTCTGCCGAAGAAATAACTGTCCTTAGGTTAAACGGAAATTATAAGCTCTCCCTCCCTCGTCATGCCATAAACTGGCCCTCTCTACGTGTTCTTTCTCTGATGAATGTTCGTGTTGATGAGGCCATTCTTCAGAATCTCATCTGCGGTTGCCCTCTGATTGAAAAACTTGCTTTAGTTTATTGTTATGGTGTCAAAAGCGTTCTTATTTCAGGATGTATAAAACTCAAGGAGGTTGAGGTGAATGAAGGCGACAGTGTTCTTGAAAGAATTGAGATTCATGTACCAAGTCTCCGAAAATTTTGCTACATAACTGGTTTGGTTAAAAGTTTCTTCCACATCGACATGACTGGTTGCAGGAATCTGGAGGTACTAAAGTTAAAGTTTTATAACATAACAGAAGTAATTGGACAAGTATTTCAGGATCTTATTGCTCAATTTCCTGCCCTTAAAGTCTTGGCCTTGAATTGTTATGCTACTTCATTTAGTAGGATCAAAATTTCGAATCCACAGCTCGAGAAGTTACAACTATGGTCATCAGCTCTAACTAAAGTCACCATCACCAGTCCAAGCTTACATGCATTCAAACATTTTTCCTATGGATTTCCATCTGCGTTTTCACTCGACCAATCAAGTCTACAGAAAGCTACCATTCACGTTCACAAAGGCGCTCTCTATTCTTCTGATTTCCTCCGACTTAGGGAATATCTTGGAAATTTCAACCAAATCAGACGTCTCACATTGCGCATAAACTATGTAGGCATCAGATTTATCCCTGAAACATTAAATAATATCTCCATTCCAGCTTTGCCTGATATCAAGCACTTGAAGCTCAAAATCTGTCCATCTACTGGAGCTAGTGGGAGTCTTGCCAACCTGAAAGATTACAGAGATATTGTTGATGGCTTACTTTGGGTTTGCCATCCAGAGACTATACTGCTTATTTCAGGCTGGAGTTCTGAAAATGTATTTATCCAGATTCTTTGCGAAAAACTAATGCAAGGAGGAGAAAAACATTGTTGCACATCTTCCCATATCAAATGCTGGCGGCATGACTTAAAAGACATTCAAATCGAGCACTTGCAACGAAATGCAGAGGCAAAGGCTTTTACATGTGGTACTTTGTTAGAATCACTACCAAATCTTGCTCGAGGGCAAAAGATTAGATTCATTTTCAATTGGTGATTCATTTTATCCATGAAGGACAAGGTAGTGTATATTTATTTTAATTATTCTGGCAATATTTACGTTGAGCCTAGACAAAGACATAGACATCTATGAGTGGTAAGTTCATGACATCTTTGCTTGTTTTTGTAATTGTATCTGGAATTTCCTCAATTATGGATTAATCCTTTTCAATCATCAGGAATCTGTTACTTAATCCTCCTATGTTTATGATTTATATATCAACATCTTATACGACAAACAAGATATAACTGATCATGTTTAACTAGATGAACGAGAGCATTAAGCAAGGAAGAGTTTGCATGCTTGCCTTATCATTTCCAAACTAGCTAGGGTTTAACTTAGCCAAGTTCAATCTATTTTCTGGACTTTAAGCATTAAAATTGCCAAAAAGAGGAATTAGCATAGATAAAATTAATGAAGGAATATCAACAGTTCGATGTTGATATCCAAGAAACCAGCTACCAGTACTGAAATATATTGAAAATCTAAGCACATGAAGAATTATATGCAGTACGATCAGCACCAGAGAAATAACAGCGGAAATTAAACTAAAAAGTTCCAAGCAGTTTCAGTTAATCTTTTATTTATTTACGACTGAGCAAAGCATCCTAGCTATTACCCTCAGCCTGAAAATTCAGCTTGAAACTTTCGTCTTCCTCTGATTCGAACCCTTGGCTCCACAATTCATTTATCTTTAACTTCATCATTTCATACATGTTGTGATCCTCTGGTCCCAAAATACATTTATACTCTGCCTTCAATTCATCAATCCTTGATGCTATCGTTTTTAACTCTTTCTCACATCTGTCAAGATCATTTTTGAGTGCAGACAGTAAATCCTTCACTAATATCCCTTTATCAGGTTCTCCTTCACGCAATAGTGTACTTTCCAAACACAGAATTGGGTCAAAAAATTGGAGAATGAGTTGATCAACGTGGCTGCCTTCAATTAAGTTTTCCCTCAGTTCGATGCCTCTAAATTCATCATCCTGATCAGTATCTGAGTATTCTTCAGGAATGTCCACCTGCTTTAACCTTTTCAACCTTTTCACTTCTTCATCAGAAAATTCCATTAGAACCAAGATCCTGTGAATTACCTTGGAGTTCTTATCTTTACATTGATATTTCAGAGAATTAAAGAACCCTTGAAACATTGTGTCCACTAAGTCAATCTCTGGCAACGAAAACATGAGATTAACGAGAAGATGAAAAAGCTCAGTTGCCAGTCTAACTACTTCAGCCTTGATTTCTTTGACAGTCTCCCAATCTTCATCTAATTCAATATATCCCCTTAACCATTCCATGAGACTCTTTTTTGGTCGGTGTTGATCTTTCTCATCTTTAGTCATCAGCTTCACATCACCTACTTCCTTCTTGAGTTGGTAACTGTCATCTTCACTTCCACTTTCGAGGTCAATTTTTTGCATTTCTTCTTCCAATCCTTCTATATTAGTCAAAATATCTCCAGCACCATCAGAACCTTCTTCTTGCTCAAGATTATTGGAGGAACTATATGCTATCCTTTCAAGGAGAGTCGTCTTCTTTACAACAACACCTTCTTCACTCCCTGTTTGTTTTTCTTGTTCTGTGGTTTCCGTGTCACTCTCCAAAGTTTGTAACAGTTCTTCAAACTTTGGATCGGATTCTTCTATATTTTCAGTACCTAGAAACTCTTCTTCGGAATCATCTTCCTTTGACTCCCTTTCTGTTTCTTCTTCATTATCTCCACTATAACCAGATAACGTCAGCGCCTCTTCTTCACCCGTTTCTAAATCAGCCAACATTTCATTCCCACTATCTTCTCCTTCCTCAGATCCATTACGATCAGCATGTGTGTGGGAAAAATCAACCCTTTTTTTAATCTGAGATTTGGTTGTTTGATGTTGAGCAGAAAGTGCCAAGCTTTTAATCCCACCAGAAAGCTCACTGGATTCCTGAGTAGAATCAATCTTTGGGCTAATTTCTTCGAGGTTGGCTCTTTCATGTTGACCAGAACGCTCCATTAACCCACTCCTTGTCTTTAGAACGTCTTGATTACTTTTCCTGACCGCATTAGAAAGATTCAGCTGGGGAGTTGGAAAGTGGATTTTTCCAAGAAACCGTTGTTCCTGAGAAACATCTATCTTTGATTCTTCTGTATCACCTTCTACATCTCCACTATGAACAGTCTCTAACTCAGGCTCAGGCAATCCTTTAACCTCACTATCTTCTTCTTTGTTTAACTCATCATTCTGACCAGCTTTCTTGGTGCTTTCAGCTTCAAGACTGGATCTTTCACGAGATTGAGTAGGATCATTTGTAGTTTGATCTTTGTCAGCCATTGATGATTCCTTGGCAGAACCAATCTTTGAGCTTCCTTCAAGATTGGTTCCTTCACGTTGAGTAGAATCCCCCCATTAACTCCCTTGGTGATGTCTCTATAGCATCCTGGTTACCTTTCCTGATTGCTTTGTGAAGATTCAGCTGTGGAGTTGGAGAGAGGATTTTACCAAGATCATTTGGATTTTGATCTTTGTCAGCCACTGTTGATTTCTTTGAGAGTGTTTCTTGGATGCTTTCTTGAGAGAGAGATTGTGAGAGTTTTCAAGGAAGTGGAGCCAAAATGTGGCTTTTGAAGAAACGGTTATTCTTTTATTCTTTTATGGGTAACTGATTGTTTCCCAGGCGGGTTATGTATTTAAATCCAATCTATCCTACAAATATATCGACATAAATATTATGTTTTATTAATGGCCTTCGAGGAGCTATAAAAGGTGAAAATCTCTTGTACAGTTCTTTAGTAGCCATGAGAATAGTGATATCATCACCAACTATGATTATCAAATAGTTGGCAATTTTATACATAGCAATCCTGTCGAGACCTCTTCGTTAGTTGGGAGAATAACCAGCACAAATTGGATTTCTTGAGTTCTAGTAAGAAAATCCAAATGCCAGCTTTTTTCTTCTCTTAGAGCAATCGGCAATGACATTTTATTAGGAGAAAGTAAACAGGATAAAAATTGAAATAGAAGATTACCGCAGTGCAATACACAATGACATGTCTCCAATCCGAAAGAGTTGGGAAAGGACTAACAAAACAAAAATCCTGACACCAAAAACATATTGCTTTAGTCCAAAAGACAAGCTATCAACTCAAAATCAGCAGCATGAAGACCAGCATAGCTTAGCAGCAGCACTGTGGTATGTTGCATTAGAATGGAGGTTCGGTCTATCTATGACCCTGGATTTTGATGATGATGATGAAGAACTTTCGTCTCGGGTGATGATCTGTTGACACTGGCTACCGAGAATGGTGTTTCTGAGTTAAATCTCCACTTAGAACAAAAAAGGCAAATTTAATTATAAAAAAGACGATGATGATCTTGATTTTTTGTCCGATCACACTTCTGTGTAGATTCATTAACTGTCTTTAAGTTAAGTGGATGTAGCTGACTGACTATTGATCCTGAAGTCATAACTTGGCCTCTCTACGTGTTCTCTCGCTGAAAGGAGTTTATGTTGACGAAGATGACATTATTCAGAATCCCATCTGCAGTTTATATCATAACTTGGCCTTCTCTGAATATTAAAGAATATCTCTTCTCCTGCTTTATAAAATATCAAGCACTTGAAGTTTAATACCATTAATAAAAACTCTCATAACTTTCGTACCCCGCTTGAATTGAAAGCTCTTGTAAATGACATATTTTGGTATGTGATCCTGTGTCTCTGCTACTTATACCACGCCGGGGTTCCAACTAATTGATCGAGTTTCTTTGCTGCAAACTAATGCGCAGTGATTCCCTCATCGTATATTGGCAATCCGAATTAAGAAGGCATTCAAATCAAGCACCTCGAGCTGTATATAAAGAATGATACCATTAAATGTAGTGCTTTGTCGAGGTCACTACACACCCTTGCACCTGCAGGGAAGAAGGCTATGGTGATTCAATTCGTTCATCAAGGATGGTGTGATAACATAATGCAGTCAGAACTAGGACGGAGATTCTTCCAATCCAGCTGCACGACCCAATTAATTTTGCTGCTCAAAGTTACTACCATGTGGGATTGCGACCCTCAATGTTAGCTGGCCAATTTATATTGATGTAGGAATAATCATGCTCATGCATTGATGTTAGAAGCTTAGCAGATATGTTTACAGACTAAATTGATTGGTTAAAAGTTAAAACAAAAAATAAAAATAAAAAATTGAATGAATCAAGATGAATTTGCTAATGAAAACAAATATAAATTTAATATGATCTTGCTGGATGAGTAGCTCGCTCTACGTTATGTCACACACGTACATAATACGTTATTTTTATACAATTACATGCAATCATAATTGAAACTAAATTGATTGGTTAAAAGTTAAAACAAAAAATAAAAATAAAAATTGAATGAATCAAGATGGATTTGCTAATGAAAACAAATATAAATTTAATATGATCTTGCTGGATCGAGTAGCTCGCTCTACGCTATGTCACACACGTACATAATACGTTATTTTTATACAATTACATGCAATTATAGTTGAATATTTCTTACTATATCATGCATCTGCTAGCTAAATCTTTTGTTGACTTCCACTACCCTACCCCACTTGCATTGGCAAAAAAAAATAGTCATAGTGGTTGCTTATATGATGGCCACTGGAAGCTTACATGATCGTTAACTTCAGGACCCGTGAGATTAGTCGTGGTGCGCGCAAGCTGGCCCGGACACCCACGTTAATCTAAAAAAAAATAGTCGTGGCCTTGCCTGGAAGAAGCTTGAAAAAAATCAAGTCTGGGGTAAGAAAACCAGCCTGTCATTTGAATTTAAAGTGATTTGGGATTTTTGAAAAACAAGAAAAAGCAGCTCTTTTCTTGCCTTGCCTATATTTGATAAGCAACCTCAGTCAAACTGAACGGTGGCTGTAATTTCTGTACACAAAAATCTCCAAATTCGTGAAAATTCGTGACGGAGCACACCTCCAATGACAAAATACATAGAAGTGGCAGTTATAAATGCGAATTACAGAATAACTAGATGCAAGAATGAATTTTTCTCGTATATGTCGTTCTATAAGAACATCAATCGTAGGAAAATTCCCTCGCAAAGAATTACCATTTCTCCTTTTAGTTCAGAAGGATGTTAAGATTGTATAAACTTTAAGAGTATCAGTAACCAGATCTCCTTAAGTATGCCAATACGCCTAACCCAGCAACAAGAGCAGCACCTGCGGCAACAGTACTGTATGCAGAAGCCCATGCATCTGCTTGAGCATAATCAAGACTTTCTGAAAAAACTTAACGTCCATGGGGTTGGGGGGGGGGGCACATCCACTGGTCCAAAAATCCATTTTTTTAATCTAAGGTACTTGTTATTCTATATCTTCTCATATAAGCATATTCACAATAATATAATATTCTATTGCCAGGACTTCCTGATTTTGGTTTTTCTAGAATTATTCAGGTTACCCATTCTTTTCTTATTTTCTTTGTGCAACCATGTCCATGTAAAATGTTGATAAGAAATAGAGGAAAATAAAAGAACTTCAAAACGAAGTCTTTCATGTCTAGAGGATGATCCACAAAGAACTATTCTCAAATAGTTTACAAATATTAATGTCATTGCCACTAGTAATCCATTCACCAGGTAAGATTGTCCCTTAACTTAATTATCCCACTTTTCTAAAGAAAAACATTAATGACAAGCAGACAGCTGACAATACCTTCAAACCAGCTGATCTTGCATGCTCTACAGCCGTGGTGAGGTCACTATCTGATGCCAGAACAACTTTGTCATGATCTTCATCTTCATACTTCAGAATGCAACCATGAATTAGTATGAAGTTAACAGAAAGAAAATAAATTATTCAGGCTACTGATCACACAGTACAAAGTCCATAAAATATACCAGAATTTGAGGTAAGTTGTTGCGGTTAATATCATCCCCTAGCCTCTGAAGGATTGAAGTTATTAGATCAGTCAGACTTCGGGTCTCTACCTCAAAGGAAATCAATAAACAAGGTCAGCTACCAATTATATGTGAACCTTGTTTTCATTAAATGACACCAGGATTTCACAGCATTCAGCCATTCACATATCCAACGCCAAATATCTAGACTTATGGGAATCACAAATATATATTTATACTCTAGAAGCAAGTCACCTGGCAGTAACTTGCAATGAAGTGGACATTCCATAAGCTATGCTAGATGCAGTGAGGAAAAGCAAATTCATGACCATCTTAAAAGCCTTGTATAGAAAGCAAAACAAATATATTACCACAAGTAAATCTGTGCATTCGACCCTTTTTGTCTTCAATTTTAAAAGAAAAGTTGTTTGGCAACCCTGATGATGGATAGAGAAGAGATCTCGCCGTCTCTGTCCCTTCAGAAGCCATTTTCAAGGAACCTTCACTGCCATTTCACCAACTACGTGTATGTAAACCCAATAGAAGAAATCAAAATCTAGCTTAATATTAACACCAAAACATCTAACCTCCGCGACTCATCCTCGTCATCATTAGGACTCATAGCCATGGCAGAATCCCAAAACTTCTGCATCATTGTGCTTGCAGTCTCATTATTTGCTCCAGTTGTATTCCCGACCTGATTAATGAAGGGATGGTATAAATGCTTTTATTCTTCTCCGCAAAAATCGTAGCATCTTATGTTTTTCCCGAGACCAATAATATAAATTTAAACATTATGAGGAGAGCCGGAAAATAAATTACCACATGCATGCCATCTTAATAATTTAAGCATGACACTCTTCCACCTTCCCTGCCTTCTCTTTTTGGAAAAGACATAATTCCCAATTACACTTCTAAACAACACACACGCATAAGCCATGTAATTGAATTCTAACACAACAGTGTGTGATGGCATAAAAGGCAGAGACCATCCTTCTCCAACTCCAAACTTCCATTCCTACTATTAAAATCATCCACTACAATTAATTAACATGGATCTGAATGCATATATGTTGACACATCAATTCTTAGACATTTAGGATATTATATGTAATGGATGCATATTCAAAGTATCTTCAAGTAGCGGAACATCCCTTCTATTTGTTATTCTTTTGATATATATATAGGAAGAAATCAACAAATTTTCAAGAGTATGATATTGAGTACAAGCTGGAAACAGATAAATGAGGAATTTTGAAGAATACTTGCTTTTCAGATTTGAGAACATGTTGTAGATGTTATGCTAAGGAATAATAATTCATTAAGTCAATGAAACATGCAAAGAGCACATTGTAAAGCACTACGTAGTCCAAGAAGGACACGGGCTTGACTTACTGTGGCGACTGCAGCATGAGTGATATGAATCACATCAATGACAGCAACTATGTTCCCATCTGCATCCAACCATCCAAGGTCATCAGAAACCAAAATGACTGGCTAAAAAGCATTTCACTCTTTATCTACAAGGATGGCACCTCTGTCTAGCACAGGAAGGTGCAAAAATTTCCCATCATGCATGGTGTGCAGAGCATCAACAATTGGTGTATCAATTGTTGCACATTCTGGATTGGGAGTCATGACCTGTAGAAAAACCCGAAGCAAGATGACCGACTTAACCACTTTCTTCCATTTATCTGAGAGGCATGTTCTTCTGTAGTTCTATGTAAGGGTCCAAGTATACATTTTTAGAGCCATTGCTTCACTCAAAATATGCTAAACAAGTATCTCATTCCCAAAGTCTCACTAAAAACACCCACTAAGATAGAACTATAATTGGATTATGGCTTTTCTTAGAAGGTACATAATCACATTCTCCTTAGTGTTAGCAGATTCTATATCATTGCAACTTGAAGGATACAGGACACAATTTTCTTTTGACAAATTCCCTGGGAAAGCCAACTATGCTATCTGAAAGAGAAATACCTTCTCTACAAGAGTTGAATCTGGAGGAAGATTTTGTGCTATTACTCGCATCAAGATATCTTTTGAACTGACAGAATTAAAAATAAAATAAAATGATGTGTATTAATTATAACAACAAAACAAAAACTTCCTGCTATAAGATTTTGATGCAAACACAGATGACGAATGTAGTTCTTAACTCTATTCACTTGCTTGCTAGATGCAATTTAAAATTAAACTCACGTAAAAATTCCTCGGGGTTTTTCATCAACAGTCACTACTGCACAACCTGATCGAGATTCAAGCATCTTCTTTGTCACCACCAAAACAGTTTCTGACGGTGATACAGTTACAACCCTGAAAGATGCAAAAACATATCAAATTAAAGAACTGGCTGTCTATTTTGTCCACAAATCCTTTAAGCAATTAATGGTAGAGTATCCAAGATAAACACTCAAGGGGACAAAGTATTACCTACTTTGAATTCTCCGGTATTATAGTAGACAAAGCAGGCCTAAACATTTTCTCTCGAAGTGTCTCAATGAATGTATTGGGGACTGCATGTGAACCAAAAATTAAAAAATAAAACAAAAGTGCAAAGAAAAGTAAGGAACAAATTCTACTCTATGTTATGTTGTAACAAAGTAGCCAGAAAGACAAGTAATCCAAATGTTAGAAAAGTAAGGAACAAATTCTACTCTATGGTATGTTGTAACAAAGTAGACAGAAAGACAATGTCATTCAAAGGAACACTTTCACTAACCAGATATGGATGCCCCCCAATTTTTTTCAACACCTTCGACAGCTGCAGCAATGGCTTTTCCTTTTTCTGCAGCCCTTTCCATACGAGCAATAGCGTCATATAAACACTTCGCTATGTCCAGTAGGGCAATTACCTCTCCATTCTCGACAACAGGCAAATGTCTGAATTTTCCTGTTAATTACTAATATCAAAACCATATCCACATGGCATGATGTAACAGGCTTGCAAGGTTTTATTGCATCTCAGTTTATTACAAACCTTGAACCATCTTCTGGAGAGCTTCCACAGCAAGAGTGTCAGAGAGAACAAAAACAGGGTTCCTAGTCATAACTTTAGAAACAGGTGTCTCCTCAAGATTGACCTCAGAAGCAATTACTCTTGAAGCTAAATCCTACAAAAAAGAGGAAATAAGACATAAATAAAGGTCCACATTAGGGTGAAGGAAAAGAAAACTTCTTTCCACTAGGGTTTTTTTGACCCAGAAACATAAAATTTTAGCCACACCTTATCTGTAAGGATTCCACAAAGTAACGCATTAGAGTCAGTTAGCAATAAGGCATCAACTCTACGAGCAGCCATCCTACGGCAAGCCTCATAAATGCTTGTGCTCTCAGGAACTGTCAAGGCCTTTGACAAGCGCAGCCGTTTTACTGTGCGCTCTCCAGTCAGTCCCCTGTTTAAGATGTAGTTGCAAATAGAAGATTACATTAATGGTGATGTAGCAACCATTGCTGCTAGGCCTTCCAGTGATCTATATTTGTCGTGTGAACTGGATACCTGCCTATCTATCTACATAATCAGAGATCACTAATATTTCTCCTACCATGAATTCAATGTTAAAGTAGCACAAAAAGATTGATTACCTAAACATGAGGCCAAGGCCATGCCTTGCGTTTCGTAATTTACTAAGCCCAAACATCCCATTACTGTAGCAGGGAGAAGCGTGAATAATAAGGGGATAGAAAAGAAGTGCAGAGAGGAGTTGAATTATAGGTATATGCCTCTTCAACACCCCCATCCCCTTTCAGTTTTCCAAAATCATTAGAAGAACTCCTGATGATCGCATTCCATAACTTTATCAAACTATTCACTTTCATTGATCCAAAAATTTGTTATCCTTTTGTTTCTTAAAAAATGGATAGAACCATTACCATACACGACATCAAGAACCAACCTAGAATCCAAATTCATCCTGTTAGGACACACCTCTCCACCATCGAACACATTTTTTCCCTCATGAACCAGACTAATATTGATTGAATCATTTCCATAGCTCACAATTGCAAGCAACAGACACTATACAATTCAAAGCTCTTCTTCTCTTATCTCACAATTCACAAAAAAAAGCTCAATTACATGTAACAATAAAACACTAAAAATCAAATTTAAAATGCCCCAAACTTATTAATTTTTTTCCTTAAATCCTCTGCGTCCTCTAATTATTAAATCAATAAATAGAAATGAAAGTAAATGTCAGATTTAACGCAGAAACAAACAAAGAAGGAATCAAAATTCGCAATTCAAAAATAAATAATAAAAAAACACAGAGGAAACATACATAGAGCGCGAAACAGTGAGAGATTTCCTAGAAGCATCAGGACCTCCTCCTCCCTCGTTAGCTTTTTTCCTTCCATGCAACGACGAAGACGACATACTTTTCCTCGTCGAACTCCCTTGGCTAGCCATCTTCACCACCGATAATAACAGAATTCAATATCAAAATTTTGATAATTCAGGGAAGAATCACGATAGAGGAAATCAGATTCTTACTATTTATTTATTTATTAATTTCCCGGGAAAGTTCTCGCGAAGTCGGGATTTCCCGGGAAAAATGGACCGATCGACGAGGAGAGAGAGGAGGGAAAAAGGGTGCCCTAAAAATTGGAAATGGGAGAGAATTACGACCGTATGGGATGCTCTTACGTCTTACCTTATCTTGGCTATAACCTTATCTTTGCTATAACGGGATAACGTAAGATTTTTTTTTAATTTCTTTTTTTTTTACAAAATACAAGAAATGATTTCTTTTTAATTTTGGTAAAAACGAAAACATTATATTTAATCCTTTTAAAGCCCGTTTCGAAAACATTATATTTAATCCTTTTAAAGCCTTTTTCTACAAAAAATAAGCCTTTTTCTTTATACATTGCTTGTATTTATAGGGATTATTTTTTTCTTTTTTCCTATAATAGCCTAATTAATTTCTTTTTTTGTATAAGTATAAAAGAAAATCAGTAGAAGCCAATAAGGACATGGTTACTGGTAAAATTTACAGCAGATATTTATCAAAAGGGATAACAAAAGGATAGAAAGAAGTAGCAGAATACAGACATCATAAATTGATTTTATGGTGGTGTAAGAGTTTTTAATCCCACTATGTTTTTCAAGCTACTTCAAACAAATTCACGAGATAATAGGAAGGATATATTACATTACTAACTTTTCTTTTTATTTGAATTAAAATTAACATTAAATACATAATCTGAATTATTATTTTTTATGTTTTTTAATTTATGAAAATGCTTAAATATATTCAATTATATAATAAAAGAAGTTCATAGGACGTGTTTGGTATGTGAATTTTATATATTTTGTAGAGTGTGACTATAAGTAATATGATTATTGAGAAAGTTATGATCGTGATTGGTTGAAATTGAAACTGTTTGTTAATATATCTTTATTATATTTGTGAGAATTCATGAGGGATTTAAATAATTTATCTTTAAGACTTCAAACATCTAATTTGTCGATATGTACATAAACACACATAAAGTATATTAATTATATTTTGTACCAATATGTTGAATTAGAATAGACAATAAATTTAATTTTATAAACTAAAACTATAATGTAAAATGACAAACCTACCAACAAATTAAATAACATGCGAAGCAAAGTTTCATTTTATTAAAAAGAAAGCTTTATTAATTAGGGTTCAATTTTAAGAATAGGTGTGGGTATCTTATGTCAATTAAAATAAAGAATGAAGGCATTAATCACGTTCCATTCTCCTTCGTTCTAAAAGGGCATCATGCACATTCCCCATTTTGGAGGGAATACAATATCCTAACAATTTTTTAAATTGTTTAGCAATTTTTTTTATAGATTTATAGTTATTTCCGAGTGTGATAAAAGATTATTTTTTAAAAAAAGATTATTTTTAAAGTTCATTGAAAATTAAATAAGAAGACAACAAAATCAGGGTGCCCAAAACACGGACAAGCTTTTTTAAGGTCTGGACAATCACTGTGGTTCTTTGTTAATCCTTTTAAAGCCTTTTTCTACAAAAAATAAGCCTTTTTCTTTATACATTGCTTGTATTTATAGGGATTATTTTTTTCTTTTTTCCTATAATAGCCTAATTAATTTCTTTTTTTTATAAGTATAAAAGAAAATCAGTAGAAGCCAATAAGGACATGGTTACTACTAAAATTTACAGCAGATATTTATCAAAAGGGATTACAAAAGGATAGAAAGAAGTAGAAGAATACAGACAGCATAAATTGATTTTATGGTGGTGTAAGAGTTTTTAATCCCACTATGTTTTTCAAGCTACTTCAAACAAATTCACGAGATAATAGGAAGGATATATTACATTACTAACTTTTTTTTATTTGAATTAAAACTAACATTAAATACATAATCTAAATTATTATTTTTTATATTTTTTTAATTTATGAAAATGCTTAAATATATTCAATTATATAATAAAAGAAGTTCATAGGACGTGTTTGGTATGTGAATTTTATATATTTTGTAGAGTGTGACTATAAGTAATATGATTATTGAGAAAGTTATGATCGTGATTGGTTGAAATTGAAACTGTTTGTTAATATATCTTTATTATATTTGTGAGAATTCATGAGGGATTTAAATAATTTATCTTTAAGACTTCAAACATCTGATTTGTCGATATGTGAAATTGAAACTGTGGTTCTTTTAGTGTTATGGCTAACCCAATATCACCGTGGCATGGTGTTAATTAAATATTAGTTATTTGAATGTTATCTAACTCGAATAGTACTGTTAAACAATATCAACTCGCTGGCTATTAATAAAGAAGAATATGCTTAACCCTAGCCCAGAGATCTCCATTTCAGGTTGTGGAAGATAAAGGTTCTTTGAGTGGGAATTAATCTTTTTTCCGATGCACAGGATTTATTGGTCAGTGTTCCCCATATGGTAGCGGAACATAACACGATGCAGTTCTTGCAAGAAAGGAATGGCGGTGATAAGCGTGAGAGTGAGGATAGTGTTCACGCTTTGGATAAAATATATTAAAATAATATTTTTATTTTTTATATTAAAGAAATTTTTTAATAAACAAAAAAATATTAATTTGAAATTTTTTTAAAAAAATAAAAAAAGTAGAAGAAAAGCTCATCTCGGTCCCACAAAGAAATTACTAATTCCCTGTATCTGTCAAACAAGGCACTTCACATAAATGAAGTGGTGCTCATGTTGTACTATACTAGCTACCTGACCTTCGCTACACCGCGGTTCAAATAATTAAAACTTTTTTAAAACTTTTTTAAAAAAAAAGTAAATAAAATAAAAAAAGGTGATGTTTTGTCCTGATTATATAAGGATTCAAAGATATTGAATTTTCGTGGTAGAAAGGTTTAATTGGGTGATGGTTTCTCGCAGGTTTGCAAACCCGCTAGTCCAGTGACCATAGCCAGGCGGGCACGTCTTTCCTAGCGCCTAAGGCTTTGTAGACCTCGAGCCAGATATCTGCATGTATGCTAGGGTCTCAGATAGCCCTAGCCCCAGGGGGCACTCTTAGTCCTCTAATAGCCTATTTGTTTCTACGTTTTAAAAGTACTTTAAAAAAATTTGAATTTTTTTTATTTTTTATTAACTTCAAATTAATATATTTTTAGTGTTTTCAAATCATTTTGATGTGCTAATGTTAAAAATAATTTTTAAAAAATAAAAAAATATTATTGACATGCATTTTAGCACGAAAAGTTATTTGAAAAGTAACAGCAATCACACTTCCAAACAGGCTCTAAGTCCAAACACCACGTGCCGGCAGCCCCAAGAGATCCATGTAGAACTGTTGGACGGGAGGCGCGGGAAAAACCATCGAGAAAGAAGACGCCGGGGGTGTAAATGACAGGCTGACGAATATATCCTAATAAGGCCCTCTCCTGTGGCAGCAGCTACTGCAGCTCAAAACCCAGGTCTCGGTTTTCAACCACTTTCTTTTAGTCGGAAGATGCTTTTCGTTGATCTCTTACTGGGGTGGTGTCACAAGCCGGCCCCTTCTCTAAAAGCTTCTCTGATTCTGTTGACATGAATGAAGCCGTAGTAGGTCAAGAGTCGGTTTTTCTAATAAATGAACCGGCGATGAAGCTACTGCGAAGGCTACGAAAACTTAGAAGTGGAGAGCAACTTGAAGAAATGATCTTAAGTCTTAATTTGTGTATATCCCAGGCGGTCTCTTTTATCTCTGGTCTTCGCCTTTGGCTTCCTTCCGCCTTGCTTACTTCGTAGACAGAAAGCTTCTCTGTGAGAAGAATTCATGGGTTGACATGCCCAGATATCTATCAACATAGAAAAGATAAAGCTATATATCTCGACTCTCTCTACCTGTACCAATCTGGGAGTTTACACATAACCTTATGATACAGATCAGCGATTCCTTAATGCCGCTTGCTATTCCGCTGATAAAATCTCGCTCGCAAAGATACTCAAAAGTGTTGAGGGATTTCTTTTTCTGTGCAGCTGTGAAGCATAGAGATGTCCTTTCTTTCTTTACATATTATTTTTAAAAGAATTTTTTATTTTAAAATATATTAAAATAATATTTTTATTTTTTATATTAAAGAAATTTTTTAATAAACAAAAAAATATTAATTTGAAATTTTTTTAAAAAAAATTAAAATTAAAAAAAAATAGAAGAAATGCTCATCTCGGTCCCACTAAGAAATTACTAATTCCCTGTATCTGTCAAACAAGGCACTTCACATAAATGTAGTGGTATTCATGTTGTACTGTACTAGCTACCTGACCTTCGCCACACCGCGGTTCAAATAATTAAAACTTTTTAAAAAAATTCTTAAATAAAATAAAAAAAGATGATGTTTTGTCCTGATTATATAAGGATTCAAAGATATTGAATTTTCGTGGTAGAAAGGTTTAATTGGGTGATGGTTTCTCGCAGGTTTGCAAACCCGCTAGTCCAGTGACCATAGCCAGGCGGGCACGTCTTTCCTAGCGCCTAAGGCTTTGTAGACCTCGAGCCAGATATCTGCATGTATGCTAGGGTCTCAGATAGCCCTAGCCCCAGGGGGCACTCTTAGTCCTCTAAGTCCAAACACCACGTGCCGGCAGCCCCGAGAGATCCATGTCCAGCCAGGTGTGTGGGGCCTGCAATAATATTTTTTTTAATTTCACCATAATAATAATCATAATTATTATTATTTTTTGCAATTTCCTTTTATTTTAAATATTCATATAAATAATAATATTGAATAATAATATGCTTTTTTTACATTCTATTACAATAAAAGTAATAATATTTAAAATACAGATAATAATATTTATCAGATTAATACTAATATGAAACTTGTTTGAACATGATTTAGTAATATTTTAAAAAAATATTAACAATAACAATAATAATTATTATTATTTGAAGGATAAAAGTTTATTTTTTTCCTTGAAAAAAATAGAATGCATTATTTCCTTAGAGTGTGTCTACGATAGCTTTGATTTTGAATATACCTATGAAAGTAGCAAGATCTCTAAGATCAATTAGTTTATTTTATTATTATAGGGCATGTTTATAAAAAAAAAATTGTAACAACATACAATTACATTCAAATTTAAATATATTAAAACTAAATTTGAAAAATAGGAAATGTTATCTCAGATATTGATGCTTTAATTTGACTATCAATTTTTACTTACTCGTCATGGGGTT